GGAAACTAAATTTATTTTCACCAAGTTTAAAAATTAGTTACTAAATGAGGAAAACTATAAAGTAATGTATCTTGGTCCGAGCAGATAATTCATGTTCTGACATACAGCAGAAAAGAAATTTTTTATAATAAACAGGGCCATCTATTCATGAGTTTTGTAACTAAGTTTGAAACTTGGTTGCAATAATAACTTCGTTTGAATAAGCAGAACACAACAACCGATCATTTGCTAGCAAGAGAGAAAACTTGTTTGTAATTTTGTTGTAAGAGTTTGCATGTAATTTGAATGAAATGCAGAATAAACAAAGCGTTATTTTCACCGTAAGACATCCGAGGTTGCATTTAATTGTAAGGATATGCATATATAATAATTTATTTAGTGTGCATAGACAGATAGACATTCCAGTTATGTAAAAAAAATTCTTTTCACTGAATTACCACGAAGAACGAAACACAATCATTGCTCCCGTTTAAATCAGACAGTTTGTTTCTGAAAGAGAACTCATTTTCTCAGAATTATACTGTGCAGAGAAAAAAGTCTTATTATTCACAAAATGGAGAAAAATCGCTTGATTTTATAACCGCTAACTCCTTTTATTTGTTTATTTTCTCTCTTAGCGTATAATATTTTCCATTTTGAATGCTGAGCGTATCTTAGTTTTTTCTCACTGGGTTTGGTGGTACGAGGGTTGCTATTTATATTTCTGGCCTTGGCAACAGTAAGTGTTGCTAGGCGATCGCAGACGATTTTAATCGAAAGTTTGATATTTTTAAACATAAATTCAGTAGACGATTTACCATTATAGCTTCATTTGTGTTGTTGACAGTAAATTGAAAAGTTCTGGAAAAAGTGCTTTGAAAATTGGTTCAAACGCATACAAAAGTGTATTGATCATCATGGAGAATATTTTGAAAAACAATAAAACCAATTTCGATCCTGCATATTTGTTTTTTCATTATTAGGCCAGAAATATAAATAGCAACCCTCGTATATTAGAAACAACTAATTTTCTGTAGTTGATATTTTTCATTTGATTTAGAGCCGTATCTGACACGAAAGTAACACGTTGCTTTCAAAAGTCGTTACTAAACATTGGTGGAAAGTTGCGATTTGATTATATTGTCAAAAATATATTTTCACAATTTTTTTTCTTCCTGATCAAGCTGCTTACTTTTTTTACTAACCCTAAGGTGCTCCTTAATAAAAGCAAACGAAATGCACGGAATAAAACCATTTTGTTTAAAAAAACAACTTCTACTTTAACTGTTAGTGCCTGTACTAGGCTCATTTCTATGTTAACAGGAGTTTCTCTCCCCCCGCTAAAAATGTCTAGAAAAGTAAACGAACGAAAAATAGAAAGAAGAAGGGAATGCGCGATGTGTTGTTTTCTGTTTAAAGAACCAGTTGATCTTTTCTTCCTAATTTTGAAAATTGGTTGCAAAGTTCGTCAACAGATGGCGCGGATGATTGGAAAAATTATAAAACAATGTCGACTGCTAGATGCCAGACTATCTAACTGAAATATTTTTATACGGACGCCTGTTAATTTCCCTCAGATGGCGCCATATTGTTGCTGAAAGTTTATTTTCCACTTGAACACTGACGAAAACCACAAAACACAGTTGTGTGGCCTTTCTCAGTTAATAGTTTCCTATTATAATAAAATTTGTAACTAATTTTGAAACAAAGAAAAAAAACATAGTTTCCTTTAGCAGAGCGCATCAAGCTATGCATTTTGTTACAAAATTAAATTGAATAATTGGATAATTCAGTTAATTCAGGCATTGGTGCCGTTATACAAGGTATGGGATGACAAAAATATATTGAACAGTACGAAATTATATTTGGACTTTAGATTATGGTCATTCATCATTAGAAGAGGCGAAATAAATTCAATTTGAAGGTAAATAACAAACAAATATGTTAAGACCGAAAATAGAAATTAGTGAAAAACTAAAGGGGAACATAGTCGCTTGCGAAATGTGGTAGTAAATAACAAATGAGTAATCCAATAAACTCAATGGTCACATTATTTGAGGTTGAAATTGAACCGATTGATACCTTTAAAAATATTGAGTAGGGAAGACATAAATTTAAAAAAAAAAAAAACAATCACATTTGATGATTGACGATATTTAAGTCGACACAAACATTTTAAAATGCGAGTCGACGATGTTTCCATTAACAACGTATCCATAGGGAAAAAAAGAACAAAATGTACTCACTGAAATGTTATGCTATTTATGAGAAATGGCAATACACAAAAGTGAGGCTGGGATAGTCTGGTCGGTAGGGCGCTGGGCCCATGTCCAAGAGTTCGTGGGTTCGATCCCCGTCGGCCGAAGACTCCCCGTGTAGTAAATGGTGACTGGTGCACGTTAAATCTGACGAGTCGCAAAGTCCTCCATGTTCCCATAACAAATTAATACCTCTGGGGGTACTGATCTCGGAGTTTCCTTGTCTTCTGGATTGGTTCAAATTACAAGGCTACGGAGTTGAACATTAGTAGTGGTAAACCCAAAAATTGGGTCGGCTGTTCAACGACGGATATAAAATTAAATACATCAAAGCGAGCCACCATGGCTCAGGGTATGGAGCGTTCGCCTTCCAATGAGGCGGACCGGGTTCGAATCCCAGTCGAAACGAATTCCGCATCCGGCTTGTACCGACCACATTGCTGATATGAAATATCCTCAGTATGGGTTAGAGTCCCCTTGCCGTCAGGCTAACCATGGGAGATTCTCGTGGTCTTCCTCTCCGTGTAACGCAAATGCGGGTTAGCTCTATCAAAAAGTCCTTCACGAAGGCAAATTTGTCCCAATACTCGATCCAGGAGTTCCCTTGTCTTCTGGATTGGGTTCAAAATTACAAGGCTACGGAGTTGAACATTAGTGGTCGTAAATCCATAAAACTGGGTCGGCTGTACAACGACGGTTATAATATAAAAAAAAAACACATCAAAGTAAAATGAAGAAGCACTTTTTGCTTATTATGATCATAATTTATTTTCCACAAACAAAATTAAAACACTAACGGATTTCAATTGAAAAACTTATCTTGACATACATATGACCCGACACACACTGGATCAACATTTAAAAAAAAAGTATATGCATACACGATTCAACAAGAACATTTTTTTAAAAAAAAAACATAACACAAACAAAATTTATTCCTAACACTTCTAGATTTTTTCTTTAGAAATTAGTGACAGGAGAAAAAAGTCAACAAATGTCAATTACACCTGATTTAATAAAAGAGAATCTGAGAAAGATAAAAAAAAAATGATAGGTTTAAGGATATAGTATCACAAGACAGGAATAAGCAGTAATATGTTACTTAAAAAATAACTATTCCTACATATCTCAATACAGTATAGTAGAATTTGAATGTTGTGCCCATTAAACTCTACAATCAATCGATATTCCTATGAAAGTGCTGTAAATTTTCAACTGGAATTTATTTTCCAGAATTATTGTTTTAAAATAAATTTTGCCATGTTCTGTTTTTTCCCTTAGGTGTTGTATATATCATGTGAAACAGAGGATGTTGTTATTTTAGAGCCCGCGTGGTTATGCAGCACTATCATTGGCTACTTGTTGTCACAGGAGAGTCTAGAAAAAGCCAGGGTGACAGGAATTTATTCTGCTGATGACATTCAACTATTGTATCCCGAAGCGGATGGTTTAAAACTCTTACAAGTGAGACTTCTGCAACTTTAGAAGAATAAACTATTCTTTGAATTAAAAATCAGACTATATAGTTTTTTTTAAGCCCCCCTCCATTTCTGATAATGTGCCATATATTTTTCAGTAATAATTATAGAGTAAATATGAAGTTCTTGAACTGAAAAAAAAGCAGTGTAATTTCATTCTTTCTTATCTTTCTTAGTTTTCTGAAAGCAATTTTTCTCCTTCTTTTTCTGTCTTTGAAATGTCTCGAGACTTTTTGTCGTGCTTTGTTTTTTGAACTTTGAAGCGTATTTTGCTTTTCAAAAAAAAAAAAAAAAAAAAAAAAAAAAAAAAAAAAAAAAAAANATTGTTCAAATCTATTAATTTTTTATAAATGGATGAAAACTGCAAATTTTGTGCTTACTTTTCAAGAAAATTCAAATATTTCCTTGCAACAATCGTGTCTTTCTTTTCAAAATTACTGGAATATTTCAAGCTGCAAAAAAATTTTAACTGCTTTCTGATGCCAAAAATATTATTATTATTTTTTTTTAATGGCAGGCGCTTGGAACTATTGTCCATTGGCCACAGAAAGTGACAGAACTGCTAACTCTCTTTTCGTTACCCAGTGGGCACCTGTGGCGAAGCCACGGCGGTGGAGCAGCGTCGCCCACGTCACACTACCACAACCCTTTTATAGGGCGGGTCACATTCACACACAAAGGAGAAAGGACATAGAACACAGATTGAGTGAAAGAAACATCCATGCCTTGCCCGGGATTCGAACCCAGAACCTATCTGATGCAAGGAGAGTTCCCTGCCCCCTACACAGGCCGGTCGGCCGATGCCAAAAATATAACATTTGGTCAATTTTTTTTTTTTACAAAACGTCATACTTATGATATTAATCTCAAGAAACTGAAGTGGAATGATATACTGGTTAATGTAAAAACTTCATTTGAAACATTCCATCTTCATAATTTTTTAAACAAATGAAATCTTAACAAATGTACCTTACTTTCAAAATTCGACCGTCGCTCGTTCTAAGTCAATTTTAGTTTTATCAAAAATTACTCATTAAAACTAAAATTGAAAGAAGTTTCTTCACCATCAATCTTTTCCTGTGTTTCTTCTTTTCAACAAAAATGAAAGCTAATAACTTAATTATTTCTTTTAAAATTACCTAAAAATATAACAATATTTAATTAATGATAGTAATATTATGAAATAAAGTAATATGAATTTAATAAAATATAAATAAAATATAATATGAATCTAATTATTAATAATATGAAATAAAGACATTTTTATTTACCAACATATGCTATAATTAAAGTAGTTATATTTTGATCTGAAACTAAGGAAGCGTAATATTCGTTTGAAACTAAAGTTACAGTTACATTGAAAATTATTAACTCAATGTAAGGGAGAATTCCCTACCACTTTTTTCATAACTTTTTACATCACTACAAAGTGTTGCTCAAACGCAACGTCAAATGGATTAATTTGAAGATATATAAATTATTAGAAAGTTCTTTTTGAATAAATGCTTAAGTTTTTTTTTTTCCTTTTAAATTTAGGTATATGTATGTCATCAAATCGTTACGCGAATTTCTGAGAAAGGGGTAACTTTTTCCCCAACTTAACTGAAATTGACTTACTTAGCAGCTCACATACTAGTTAATAACAAATAGTGATGAAAAATTTTTAAAAAAATTGTCATACAAGGTATTTAATGTGTTTGTATTTACTTTTGCATATATGAAGTGGAATATGGCAATTGCAGAGTTGACCATCATCCGACTAGCTAGAGCACTCAAATCTTTATTAGTGCTTTGTATCTGATGAAAATGCAATTTTCAATCGTTTCTTGTCTTCACAAATGGAATTTATGATAATTTTATTTCTAAATAAAGGGTATCGTCAATCGAAATTTCGACTAGCTAGATTATTCAAATTTCGTCTGGAGCTCTGTATCTGATTACAAAATAAGCTTCTGTCATTTTCTGACTGCTACAAGTAGAATTCATCGACCTTCTACCTCAAAAAGGAATTTACAGTCAATCTGAATTCTATCCACTTATTGACAAACTCGGTTTTTTTCTTCCATTGATGACAATACAAGTAAAAAAAAAAAATTGTTCTTTGAAAGAAGAAATCAAAATTTATTATGGAATAGCATTTATAGTTTACTTTCCAACATCAACTAGCAGACGAAAAAATACAAATAAATGAATAAAATAAATTCTAAAAATTGTTTTTCAAATAAACTTAAAAGAGGAACTGATTTATTTTTTTAGCTGGCCGAAAAAAGATGTAACATTTAATTCTCTACTCGTCTTTGTGAGGATTTCGTATGACAAAATTAAAATTATTTTCTTCTTTTTCATCAGCTTGGGAAAACGAAGTTTTTTAAATTTTAATTTTCTGTATCACATTATATTGTTTTGCTGTAAATGAAGTGGCAATCGAACCTTTGACCACTTTACGACTACCATAAATGTCAGAATACTCAAATCTCAACTGGATCCCAATATATGATGATAATACAAGCTCACTCTAATCAATATCAATAAGGCTATATCAATAACACCTGAATACTATTAAAAAAATTTGATGCCACATGAAATTTCAATATAAAATTAGAAAAAAAAAAACTAATGAACACAAACTTAAGAAGATAATTGGGTATAATATAAAAAAAACACAACTACTTTCACTTAGTAGGAATAACATTTACCATGACGCAATGCTAAATTCTATGCCACTATCCACATAAATGCCACTATCCACATAAATCAATTATTAATCAAAAATCGAATATCAATTACTTTTCTTTATAATGCAATAAAATCTGGCGAGCAGCTATTTAAACGATCAAACACTTCGTTTGTTTATTTGTGGCTTGAAGTTAGGCTCGCAGAAAANAGATGTCAGTCAGGTTCGATACACAGGCGTGATGTCGCTAAAGGCATCCAATTAAATCTGATTTAAACCATACGTGGGTAGGCATAATCACTTAACTTTTTCTCGAGTTGGAAGTACCCAACTACAATACAAATGGTAAATACATGTTTCAAAAGTAGATTTAAATGGAGAAAACAATATGGCATCACTAAAAGGTAAAACAAAGAAAGCTGTTCTTTTTTTCTTTTTTTTTTTAGGTGAGACAAAAATCAAAATAATTTTTTTTTAAAATCATTTTACATGCTTTTTTTTTTTAAATTTCTAGAGCACCTATCATTGATTAGAATTAGATGTAAGCCAAAAATTTATTTTCTTAGATACTGGAAGCTCTTCAGCTTTGCACAAAATGTGAAACTGAAGATGATGTCGAATATGAGTTTCCTTGTTTTAACATGATGGAAATGCTCGATGGCATCTGGTCTCCTGCACAATACACTTTCTATGGAGGAGTAAGTTTAATGTGCAAAGAAAAACCTCTCCTAGGTTGTATTTTCCCAAAAATACAGGTAATACACATACGTTATAATTAGAACACTTTTTACTTATTTTTATAGTTCACTATTTCAACGGATTCATCCTCTCTTACGAAAAGTGTTTCGGTCAAGCGAGAATCTTGCCCACTACATTAAGTGACTGGATATACTTGAGTTTCGGATATCTAAAGAGAGTCATAACTAACAGTTCCGAAATCTTGCAGAATAGGGAAAGGACATAACGGAATTATTGTAATTATACTTAGCGAGGTTTCCCTTCCTTTCTCATTCCACTTTCTTGTTATCAATATCGCTTTGTTTTCTTTTTGTCGACAAGCCACAAGACATGCAATTATGCCAAATTTGCCGTTCAAATGATTCAGCTCTTTAAATATATAAAGAGAGTTAAAAAATTACTTGAATTATAAGGTATGCAATTTTTTACATCATTTTAATGAATGTAATTTTACATTTTACAAAATACAAAATTTGAGCGAAATCGGTCGAATAGGTCCTGGGAATTCGAATTTTAAAGATACGACTTCTTTTAAATTCTTTAAAATGGTGTAAAAATTGTATATCTTGCACTTAAAAATGTTTAAACGTTCAAAGGTTATTAAGAAAAATAAAAAATAATTAATAAAAATTTTTTTTTCTTCTTTTGCATGGAACTATTTTTGGATAAACGAATTTTACAATTGTGTGCAATAATTTTTCAGTTCGCTTAAAATGTTCTCGAGATCTAACGAAATACGTTATAATATACGATATAACGATACGATACGATATAACGAAACACGAAAAGTTAACACTAAGGAGTACTAACTTTGAACCGCTTTCTTGGCTAAGCAATCCGGACCACATTTCTTAGATTTCGTCTATCGTCTACCCCCTATATTTTGAGGGTCAAAAATACGAATCCTTCAGTTGGAAAAAAGGTATATTCATTCAGAGAAAGGGCATTTTTGTGTTTGATTTGATATTTTAAAGCATCGTCTATGCTAATTATTTACCATATTTGAGGTCAAATCCCTCGAACCATTAAGATGAAGTCATAGAACATGAAGATCTGATAATTAGAGCAAAAGTTATTGAGTGTGGCCCGTTAACTCTCTTTTTTTTTTCTTTTGAGCACTGTACACTTCAATTGCACGTTAGTAGTAGTACTGGATCTTAAAAATTCGTGAGAAGTATTACTACCCAGGATATTGACAGTAAAAACACTTTAAACCTGTTACAACTGTATAAAAATATTTTTTTTTTTTTCAAAATCGAGTGAAAAGTGCCCCTTTAAAAAAAATTGTGAGACTATTTGCGAAAATTAGCAAGTTGCATAAAAATAAATCTTGAAAACCCATGCGGATGTAACAATAACCTAAGTTATCCATAATAGATTCTGTGAGTTTGCATGCGAAAAAGCATTATTTTATCAAGTTGCTGGTAAATTCGATAGAGAAATCGGTAGGTGAAGGTAGCGTTCTAAAACTGTTATTTACAATTAGAAAAGATGAGTTAAACAACTTGAAAGAAAAAGAATTTTTAAGATCAATGAATAATAGAAAATTTTTGCAGGTTGGATTAAATTAAATTTCTATTATATTTTAAAGGTAAACTTACGCAGAATGTCGAAAGCGAACACAGAGAACGATCTTTACCAGTGGTGCCAAGGCAGCAAGTTCTGTTGCGGTCAGATAGAAGGTCTTGTCACGGTCAATGGCACAGCTTATGAAATCAGAGTGAGAGGAACAATGAAATCAGAATGGTAACAATTGACCTCTTGTGTATAATTTTGATAATCAGGAATGATCAGAGCTCAGGGGCGCTCTCCTACCCAATGAGGTGACCCAGGTTCGAATCCTAGCGATATATGCTGGTTGATACGAGTTCTGCTCAAAGCTCACACTAACCACATTGTGGATATAAAATATTCTCTGTGGTAGACGGATCATGTGTTAGAATTCCCTTGTCGTCGAGATCCGTGAGCGGGATTCGTATAGACTGGGATTCGAACCCGGTTCGCCTCATCGGAAGGCGAATGCTCTATCCCCTGAGCCATTGCGGCTCAAAAGCCGCAAGCAAATATTGACGTGTCAGTGTGGCCGAGAGGTCGGAGTCGTCGTCCTGGAAAGACTGAGATTCAGGGTTCGATCCGCAGAACTGAAAGAAAATTATAAAACTCTAAAATAAGCTTTTATTTATGTTTCTTCTAGAAGTTTCTAGAATGTTCTAGCATATCATTTCCTGTTCCTGTCACTTCCTGTTATTATTCCTATAAAAGACTGGATGTCTCTAGCCGAGGCCCAGTTACTTTGTTCACTGTACTTTGTAGGTGTTGAATAAAGCTGTCCAACTTTGTAGACTAAGTCCTAGTTATTCTACGTGACATTTGGTGGAGGCGCCGGGTGCTCGAAGCAGATCTGGCCGGTGATTTAAGAAGGAGTCGCCGTTTAAGAGGTTTGGAGCCCGAATATCCAAAAATGACCGAAACACCTGTCACTACTCCCATTATTCAACACATTCGTAATCCATCTTCTTTCTCTGGAGAATCCAACCAAGATCCTGGAGCTTGGTTTGAAAGAATATGATCGTGTCGCTAAATATAACAATTGGGACGACGGAACATGCCTTGCAAATGCGTACTTTTTTCTAACTGGAACAGCCAAACAGTGGTTTGAAAATAATGAAGGCAGTTTAACATTGTGAGAAGTATTTCAAACTAGCCTGAAAGGTACATCGTGTAGAAGAAGAATTGAAAACCAGAGCTAAACTACCAGGTGAAACAAGTCTTTCATACATACAAGCAGTACTGGGATTATGCCATCGTATCAACTCTANTCGTTTGATTCAATATTTTTATTGAATAATGTGATAATATACCTATGTAGTAAAAAACAGCGTAATTATGAATAAAGTGTTGTGTTAGCGAAAAAATATATTAGGAAGTTAGAAGACGGTAGGGGGGGGGCGAGACGAGCATTGCCTAGGGGCCGCGACATGCATAAGCCAGCTCTGAATGTAAGGGCTAAATGCACAAAGTGCAGAAAATGACATGCTGCACTGAGCCTAAGTTGATATCTTTTTGTAAGTTTGCGAGGATTAAAAGTTTGCCGTTTTATATTTTTGCACCAGATGTCAAAAGCTGCTATATGCAATGTACTGAAATCTTTAGACAGAAATAATGAAAATCTTGGAATTTCAATCAAAACCCAAAGGCAAAATATGCTAAATCTAACTTTGAAAAAAAAAAATTAAGAAGAGAGAGAAATTCTTACTCTTTTCGTCAATTTCTCCTTTTGTTTAATACTTGCCATAGATTTTTGAAACAGAATTTAGAATTAACAATAGAAAATTTAGATAATTTTAATAATTTAACAATTGAAAATTTAGACAAAATTTATATTTTTTTAATTTATTTTTTCCTCATCTAAATATTTAAAAAAGTGGTTTAAGACGTAAATCTTTAGGCAAGCATAATTGGAAAAACTTAGTAGTTACCTGAAAATTTGAGGTTTTTATTAATTTTAATTGTGGTAATCACTGGTAGTGATTTTGTTGAAATTGATAAACAGGCTATTTTGCAGAACGTTAAAAAAAATCATAATTGTTTTAGATTTTCTACAATTAAAAATTATATATGTACTGCTATACTTATTATGATTTTGATATTTACAATATTTTTTTCTTTTTTTTTTGTAAAAAATTAAAGAACAATGATGAAAAAGAATAATATTTTTAAGGTGTTATCTAACAACAAACTTAGTACATATTTTTAGAATCCTTATAATATATGCAATCGTTAAAATCTTATTATCGTGAAACGATAACAAGTGAAGAAAACAAAAATGTTATGTAACTAAATGTTCAACCAATTAATAAAAGGTTAGAACCACAAAAAACTGTGCAATATAATTAAAACTAGTTTGATAGAATAAACTGAAAGGAGATTACAGTTTCGGTGTCTTCGGATAAATAAATTGATATAGATATTTTAATGTCACATTTAATGTGATTACCCTAGAGAGAAATTTTCTTTATGCTTCTTTCACCTAAAGCATTATTTGAATTTTTATGTATGCAAATTTTTATATCTTCTCAAAAATTGTACTAGTTTTTTAAGGACAAACTTCAAAATATTGGCTGAAAAATTTTAAATGATTAAATAATTCTTAAAGTTTACTTTTAGCATGATTTTTCATAAATTATGTTGTAATTTTTTTCGATTAAACTAGTTTTCTAATTGGGTTCAAGGATTTTATAATCTGCCTTCTAATTTTAGATATCACGAAAAGCCTAAAATGTAAAATTTGACATTAAAGTTTACAAACTACCAATACTACAAAAGCTTGGGCCATATTTTTTTTCATAGCAGCTACCACCCATATTTTTAGAGTTGAATGCGGTTGCATGTTTATGCAGAGAAAATACATTGTTCTAAACTTATTTTACAGGGATAATCAATTAATAAGTGGCCCCTTAAGGACCCCTTTTACTCCGTAACTATTGTGATCACACCACTCTCCCTTCATGGCCCACGGTGTCATAAATATGAAATGATTCCACCGATCCCAACGTTAACTATTTTTCATTTCATAATGTGAAAATCCGATCCCTAGATCAAAATTTAATTAAGAGTGAAACTTTTTTTTATGCTCGCTTCACAATTCTTCATTTTATTTGCTTTCATGCCGAAAAGAAATTCACAGCAATTTTCTTTATTCCAGTTTCTATTTACAAGAGGAGTTGATCACTTTAATCACTCAAGTATTTGCAGACGTTTGTCCAGGCATTTTACTTGAAAGGCACGCCCTCAGCAGTTCTCAATTGCAAGATCATTCAAAATACACTTTTGCTTATCCCCCAAATTTACTCATGAATACTTTGATAAAAGATGGTATATATGGAACGGTTACAAACAAAGTAACTGGAGAAAGAGAAACTCTTTTGTCCATTTTATTTTTCAACGAGCCAAAAGTACTTCAATCGATCAAGCACTCCATTCCAACAGCATCTGATAAGTTACTCATTCCTCGAAGCAAAACATTTAGCTCATCGTTTCAAAATCAATCACTTTGTTCTAAAGCATGCCAAAGAAGAGGGTCCCTGCCACAGACTAGCAACAGCCTGCACTATAGCACTTCAAACTCTGCTCTGCATGACACTTTTCTTCGCAAAGACCGAGAAAAGTCGCCAGATTTCAACATTGATCAAAATATTGTTACTCTAGCACTCGATTTGCATGCCTCATATTTACCAATAGCATGCATACAGTGCCTTTGTGCAGTTCTGGATCCTCAGGATTCTATGGGTCGAGACTGGTGTATGCTGGGAGTTCTCTTGGGGATGGTACACAAAATGCCAAAAATTGATCCGGGTGACAATCCTGCATTTAGTCCTACAGCCTGCATTTTCCATGAGTGGATGAAGTCGGAAGAAAGCAGCATTGGCACACTATTATCGAAGCTCAAGGAATTAGAAAGAACAGATGCAAGTGAGAATTTCATACCTGTTTTGCCTTTGTTCAAAATTGAGCGTTTCAATGAAACAGCATTTAGTGGCTTAAAGACATGAACAGGAAATTTTTTTTATCTGTAATCATTTACTGGTGCGGTTATAGCTCTGTTTTGGTTTTTGTCAAGAACATAAATTAATATGTTTGCAGCCTTCTTTGAGATGTGATAATTTAATTAATGTTGTTTATTCGAAAATATTCTAGATGATGAATTTATGTAAATGTTAACATATAAACAAACTTAATCAACAAACATTAGACGTCTGATTTTGTTTTTAGAAGGTATATTTATTTTGCCAATTGGTCCACTTACATGAACTCAACTTCTCGCAGTTTTACGTGACTCTAAGGACTTCAGTAGCAATGTTCTAAATTCATGACATTGATATTTTAAATTGGAGGAATAATAGGGAATTTTCGTATTGCATTACTGTTTCCCCTCGAGTGCAAACGTAAATCAAGCTTCACAGAGCATTCGTGAAAATTAATGTACAAAAATAATGTATGCCTTTAAATACAGCTTTTGCATTATATGTGGCAAAACCTTAACACTATTTCTCAGAAGCTGCACATGTAATGATTTTATTGCTCTGTGTGCCGATTGTTCGCCTATCCGAAAGCATTTTTTCTTTATTTTCATTACTCTCAATATTCTTTATTTTCATTANTGTTTTGCCTTTCTTCAAAATTGAGCGTTTCAATGAAACAGCATTTAGTGGCTTAAAGACATGAACAGGACATTTTTTTTAATTTGATCATTTACTGGTGCGGCTATAGCTCTGTTTGGGTTTTTGTCAAGAACATAAATTAATATGTTTGCAGCCTTGTTTGAGATGTGATAATCTAATTAATGTTGTTTATTCGAAAATATTCTAGATGATGAATTTATGTAAATGTTAACATATAAACAAACTTTATCAACAAACATTAGACGTCTGATTTCATTTTTAGAAGGTATATTTATTTCGCCAATTGGTCCACTTACAGGAATTCAACTTCTCGCAGTTTTACGCGACTCTACGGACTTGGGAAGCAATGCTCTAAGTTAATGTCATTGATATTTTAAGTGAAAATTGGAGGAATAACAGGAAACTTTGGTATTACGTTACAGTTTCCCCTCGAACGCAAACGTAAATCAAGCTTCCCAGAGCATTCGTGAAAATTAATGTATGCCTTTAAATACAGCTTTTGCATTATATGTGGCAAAACCTTAACACTACTTCGCAAAAGCTGTACATGTAATGATTTTATTGCTCTGTGTGCAGTTTGTTAGCTTAGCCGAAAGCATTTTTTCTTTATTTTTTTTTTAAATATGAATAAATGGCGATATACAATGATATAAAAGAGTGGTTAAGAGAAAACGCTTTTGCTGTTTCCTCTAAGGTAGGTTTGGGAAGAAACATACTTCAGGTGGATAAAATAGGTCAGGGTGGAGTTTTTTTGACATGGAAGAATATTTTTTAGTGTATACAAATTTACTTTAAATACAGTTACAGTTATTTGAATTTATTTAAAAATAAAACAAAACTGATACTTTTTTTAAAAAAAACTTTTTCCTTTCTTAACAATATATATATATATATATATATATAGTGTGGTTTGCAAATGGTTTGAAATTTTGCTGAATTGTTTTCCAAAAATATAGGTTTATTTCTAATATTAAGAAGAAAGTCATTTTAATTCTGCAAGAATTTAATAGATGGAAAATAATTAATGAAATACAAATACAGAAATTCTTTGTAACGACCATCTTGAAAGGTGAAGCTTTGTATTTCATAAGAATTTTGTTACATAGATAATTTCTCATATCTATATAATTTCTCATATCCAAATAACTTACAACTTACTTTTAAAACTTACCTTCTGAACCTTTTAAAACTTACCTTCAGAATTATTAGTCTGGAACAGATTATTTATAAAATGCTTCAATATAATATTTAGTTACAAATTAAAAAATATAAAATGGGCAATTAAATATTTATTACTAACAAAACAAAAACAAAAATCGAAATTTTTTAGAGCATTAGAACTAAATAAAGTTTATCCCTTTTTTTGTTTGTTTAGCTTTTGAAAATGCATACTATTTGAACTATTAAATAATGTATACATAAAGTTAGTTGTTCTTGATTAGTTATAATTTTCATTTTTCACAGCTGCAAAAGTTAATGTGATTTATGGAGAATTATGATTTATAGTAATGTAATGTGTTATATAGATCTTCTACAATATTTGTCTTCCATTACATAAAAAAAAAATGTTTCATTTAGCAGCAAAGATTTTAAAACTTCAAATAAGTTATTCCATTTTTATTCATATAAATTTAATTGAAAATATTTTCAAAATATACAAAATTTTTATACAACAGCGAGAATAAATATGACCCTGACATTACTTGTATAACAGAAGTATATAAGAAAGTATGAAAGAAAACGTTAAGATATTTTAGTTAAATGCTGTCGTGAATATTCCCAAATGAGTATAGCTCCACTAACATGAACATTTAGTGATCTAACAACTCCCTGTTGAGGTATTTCAACACAATAATCTAGCAATTGAATTAAATCAACTGGCAAACCTTCTTTTTCATGACCCAACAATAAAACGGATTTTTCTGGAAATTTAAAATTTTGAAGATAACAACTGTTCTCTGTTTGTTCAGCTCCTATCAAAACATAATCTTGTTCTTTCATTGAAACTAAATAATCTTTGAGATGATACGGTTTGACCTCTTTAATTGGGATCCATTTATCTGATGAGACAGCAAGTGTCTGGAATTGTTTATCTTCAACATACTTCAAACTTCCAATAACAAACTCTTTGATGCCAAATATTTCGCATGTGCGACAAAGGCCCCCTAGATTTGGTATACGATCACAGAGAGAGGCAACAACTACCAAACCATGTCTCATTAAATTTTGTTTTTTGATAAAAAGTTCTGACATTTGATCACCATCAAAACTTAAAAAATCTTTTAAAGGACAAATCTTTTTCTGAAAGTTATAGTCGAAAGACTCATTCTCTTCTGCGGTCTTTTCTTCCAGAGGTTTAAATGACCATTGGATTTGGAGACCACCCTTTGTTATGCTATTATCATTGAACACTCTAACAGCTTTGTTGCATTCTTCATCAAATAACGATGGCTTAATCCATTCATCAGGAGGAAGATTAACTAACCGAGGCAAATCAAAGAATAAAGTTTCTAAACTAAAATGACATATTGGGCTAAACACAGTAAAATAGAAATCTTCAGAGAGTTTCTTAATATTTCTAGAAAAATTTCCTTGCTCTGCTTGAATTTCATGCATTTCAGACAAATTCAAAACAAATTCATACTTATTTAAAATGTTTATAAAATTTCTTTCCTTACTTATGTGGAATAGTTTTATCAAAGTCATTTGAGCATAAAGTCTAACAGTGAAATTCTGTCCCATACTTTGGATGATAATTGAGGGAAAGCACTGCATTATTTCCTGTTCTGTCATTAGAACTTGATGGGCTACTAAAAGATACAATACTGTAACAATGGAAATAATACAACTAGGCCTTTTCTCTGGTAACTTATATAAAAAAGATAAGTATTTAGCTATCAGCATATTTTCAGTTTTAAGAATATTAAATATAATCCATTCCAGCTGATAACGAATTGAAGGTTGATGGGTTTTATTTTCTAGGGCAACGAAAATTTGGTCCAAAATTTGTTCATTAAAATCTACACTCGTCAGTAAAGGTTGCAGTAAGCATATGGATTGCCAAATTCTGTTTCTCATACGGTGGCTTAATGAGTTGGAGAAACGCGAAGTTCGAACATTGTAATGTTCATTATCGGCATCTAAAAGACCACTGATCAACTTAAATATAAAATCATCTCTAGACTTCTCAACATTTTTAATATTTCGCAACACATAATTAATGATCGCAACTCGAACAAAATATGATGGTTTGGTACAAACTGGTTCTTTATTAATAGGTAGCAAAGAACTGTTTTCTGTAATATAAACTAGGGTATCTTCGATTATTTTTTGTCCTTTTTCATGTGTTGGACCATATGTTAAAGCTTGCACAAACAGTTGCACATAATTAAATTTAGATTCAATTAAGCAAGGAATAGTAAAAGTGCTGCAAAAATGACTAATAACATAATAAAATATACCAAATGTATTTTCAGATAATGTTCCAAAATGGTCAATAAACTCATAAAGGATGTCAAAATACTGGTCTTCAAACATTTTCTTTTGAAAAACCGTTTTAATAAGGGAACACACAGCAGGTCTGAAAGCTTCACTCCCACGAAGCTCCAAGCACACCTTTAATGACCCTATTAAGGCATCGTGCATTATTTTTGTATCTTCTATTCTAAGTTTGGGGATAATAAACTGTAGGCATTCAATGGCACAAGGTATTGCCACTTTGGGACCGTTATCAAAAGCTAGGTGAATTTTTTCAATCAGTGGTAAGAGTAAATTGGCAAGGTTATCACAAAAAGAATATTGCAAAATATCTGAACATGTGTTCCAAAACTGACAAATTGAATTTTCCACAAACTTTAGATTTTCCTCATTGTCTAGTTTTTTAGTGCCAGAGTTCCTAGTTAGAGAATCACATAAAAGGTTATTGTGAACAGCTTGAGAGATAACAGAAAAGTTGAGGGATTTTAAATCATCTGATTTTCCTGGAAACGAACAGCAAGTATTCCCTTGCGAAAGGAAATACATTTTATTTGCTATAATCCATAAAGGTATCAAAAGAGTTGGTTTTAATTTTTCATCTTTTGCAACAATTGCACACCTTTCCATTATTTTTGGTACCATCATAAACACTAATTCTTTGAGATTAGGTTCGTGTACAGAAGTGTCTAAAAAGATGAAGATAATTCGGATCTTTAAAATGTAGTTGTCACTTTTTATCTCTGAAAATATCACTTGAAAAATAAACTCCATTGTCTCTGGACAATCTTGAAGGCACTTCATGAGAGGGGACATTAAAACGTGATATTTGTTACAATTTTTTCCCTTTTTAAGAAGATGAATTATAAGTAGCAGTGATGAAAGCAACATGGTAATTGGCATGTACGATCGTTTAGTTACATTCTGCAATACCTCAATAACAGGATTTAATATGACCTTCCACGACACATTTGGTACATTACAGTTCTCATTTGAAGAAATAATTGATGCATCATTTAGCAGTATGAAAATATTACAGATTTTTTCTATCAGCAGGAAATCAACTGAACCTTAAAAAAGAAGGAAAATATATCAGTTGCATATTATATAAATTAATGTATATTTACAGTAAATAATCATTTCTATCTTAGTACTTACTTTGAAAGAAATATAAAACATTGATTTATTTTGTGTTCAAAATAATACAAATATAGGACTAATATTAGTATTTAACATTAGAATTACTAAAGGTCGCAGTAGCAGAAACCTTCCGGATATAGCATTGCGTGCTACTGATTAGTTTCCATCTTAATTTTATTTTTAATAAGTAAACAAACGTAATGGGGAATTTCCTGAGACTCGTCGATAAGACGTTTTAAAACTTGTTTCTAATAAAAATTAAAAAGCTGAATTGAGAAAACTCTACAAATTTTTTGAACGAAACGTTAAAAAAATTCGTGTTACTTGATAACTTAATTATATATTATATGGAATTATTTCTTAAATAATTAGATATGGATTATTTATTTTTTCATTATGTAAAATTCAACTTTAATTGAAACAAAATTTTTATGTAAAATTTTTTAGGATTTATCATTACAAATTTTGCTACATGTATGTTAGATTATGCTGAATTTCGTAAGTACAGTAGAGTCCTGAATATCAGAGTTTCCGCTTTAACCGAGCTAACAAATATTTCAAGGATTTTTTTTTCGTTCTAGTTTATTTTTTACCTTTAAGACTACCGCCAAAAATTCTGAATTTTACTTGCCAAACACTCAGGAAAACGAAATCCAACAACTTGATATAAAGAATTTATTGTTAATATTGCCGATAATGAAAATCAATCTAGCGAAGATGATGAAGAGAGTGATGATGAAAATTAACATTAAATATCTTTCATACAGATGGATTAAAAGATATCAAAAGTGCTATTGAATATATAGAACAACAAGAATAAGCGACACCAGCCTTCTTGTTATCCCTTAAAAAAATGGCTAAACATTGCTGAAGAAAAGCGCCAAAGTAATGTAAAACAAAAAACAATTCAAGACTTTTTTAAGTAAAAACTCTTTAATTCTCGTAAAGTGTGCTCTTTAAGTGTTTTTAACTAAGCTTTTTAGTTATAATATGAATTGTATGCAGTGTACTCGTATAAATTTTATATTTATTAAATATATTACATTTATACCTACTCTTTTCCTTCCCTTTTTATACTCTCCTTTAACCGAGTTTTTTGGTTATCCGAGTGGTCCCGTGGTCCACATTAAATCGGATAATCGGGACTCTACTGTATATATCTCTGACTGTGTTGAGCTTGCAGATAAATTTGGATTTAAGAAGATAGTGCTACAGATTCCCTCCATAAATTCAGCTATGGGGCTAAAGATTAGGCAAACTACTTGAAAACAGATGAAAAATAAGTTTTGTAAAAGAGTGGACAGTCATAATGATTTACAAATTTTATTAATATTTTAAGACTATAGTTGTAGTCAATTTTTACAATACAGAAACGAGAATACATTTCTTTTTTGTAAAGTTTTAAGAAGAATCCTATAATTAAAATTTTACATTCGACTCTGAGATATTTCTATTTGTGTTCAGATTTCTGACTTGTTAGAACAATGAAATTTTTGAATTTTTACATCTGGCAATTATATCTTATAATAATTGTTAAAAAGAAAACATTTTAAGTACAAGTAACTAAGAAACCAAATTTTAAAAGAAAGATATAAAAACTCAATCAATTTACTGAAATTTTGAAGAAAACTGAAATTTAAAATATGATTAATAGATCACAAATTATTTAAGAACCATTAAGAAAAAACAACACTTTACTTGAACAATTGGAATCTAGGATTCTTTTGATGTTTACATTGCAAAATTCTATTGCTCCACTATAGTTGTTCGAATGCTTCATGAAATTTTCTTTAAACTTGAATGTCATATCTATCCAAGTATCAGTATTTTGAAGATGGTTGACATTTTTAAAAATCACCAACAAATCTGCCAAATCTTCCAGATTAAAAGAACTCTATATTGAAAAAAAAAAAAACTTGAATTATTTTTGTTTATATTCTTCATGACTAGTACTAATACTTTCTAACTAATACTTTTGATACTAATTATATTAATCTTTTTAATATTAATCTCTTCATTGTTTTGGTATTATGCTCTCAGAAGGGAAGTGAGTTTTGATTTCTGCATCAAGCGAAACTTCTGTGCATGTGTTGGGGATATTGATTGTTAAAAGTCAAAGTGGTACAACAAAATTTTTCAAATTTCTATAGGGTTAATAGGGAACATCATGGGCTCATCACAAGCAAAAAAGTCAAATCTAGATATTTTTTTGGAAGAAATCCCTTAGAATCTTTAACTGCAGGGATAAGAGTTAAAGCCAGTTCACTGAGCTGCATGCAACAGTCATATTAATTTCTAGAACAGTTTTGATGCAGTTCAGGGCTAAAAGAAAGATCAGGAGAAAAGCTGTGAAGTAGAACAATCTTTAATCTGCCTGGTTTTCCCATGTATCAAACAGTCATTGCTATCAAGCAGTTATTGCTTCTCAGGTGAACGCCGATGCACAATTATCTCTATTCTCATCCTTACTGACTTAATATTGTCAATAGTAGGCCACTCCTTTCCTCTGGCAACAAAATTATGACTGTGGACTAACCTACACTCGGCTCGGCATCCTCTATCTACACCCATTGTTGGGAGTCAAAGGATTTTTTTTCAAGTTTACCCCTTAACCTTTATATGAATTATTTTTTTACGATTTAGTCTTATTTGTTATTTGCCAGTTTTGTTTACAGATCTTATTTTAGGAGAATTACTGTGTTTGGGAGAAGAATTCACCAACTGCAGGGGAAATGAAACAAAATTTGAAGGGGTAAAAACAGTGAGGACAAATTAAAGAATTTTATTGAACTTATCTCAGTATCTGTGAGTAATTTGTTAACTTTTCCTGCAGAAGGATAATTAACAATATTTTGTCTCAAAACCACAAATTTCTCCCTTGTAAGAGTATTTTTAAGTCCAATTTAAATATCACGACAGTTACTAATTAACTCCGCCAAAGGTAAGGTTTTGTCCATTTCTAAACTGATCCTAAGCCCAGGTTGTGAGCTGGGGTAATCCCACAAACACATCAAAAATGAGCGATAACAGAAATTACAAGAAATGCTACTGAAGTTGATGTGGATGTCTTTGGTTCCTCAACGGATAATTATATCTGAGAAACAAGTAGCTATGACCAGACCTAATTAAAAACTTTCTGCAAATACAAAATCAGAATTAAAAAACTTTCTGTAAATAATTTATTGACTCCTGCAACAAGTTTAAACCTTTTTGCTGCAACAGCAACTAATTTTTAAAGATTTGTTAAAAAAAACACCAATTTTTTTCTTTGGAAAGATTTCTTAATTTTTAAAAAATTCTATATTGATTATTATACATACTATGGAATTTATCTTTAAGTTTAAATTTTTTTTTAAAGATATAAAACTGGTTATTGACTAACAAATTTTCTGTTATTGTATGCAATATTTCTAAAATTGACTCTGAAGGTTAGAATATAGAAATTTCGACCATTTATTTATATATACATTACCTGTTTTGTTATTATACATTTGTTTTTTCATTGCACGTTTATATTTTTCGAACCTACTCTAGAATTCAGTATATTGTAATTAAATTGCATAAAAACGAGTAATATTAAAGAAGTTTCTGTAATGGGGACAAATTTTTCGCAAATAGCGATGTATATTATGCATATCAGATTATGATACGGGTAGGGCAGGAACCACAAGAAACCTCTACAATTGATGAAACCAGGGTTCATACTCAAAAAGGAGACATTTTCTCCTGACTTTCCCAGGTAAATTTACATAAATTCCAGAACTGAAAAAATTCAAAAAAATGTAAATTTAATAAAAATGTAAATTATAATTATAAATAATATCACAACTCTAAGAAAGCATTACAGGACAGGGAACAACAGAACTTTCCTATTAGATGTTTGCTGAACTTTGTTTCAGCTATAAAGCTTTTCTGTTAGACATGATCCAAGGTTTGGGTACAATAGACTTCTGGCCGATGAGCCTTGCTCCTCGGAGCTGCCCAACCACTTAAGTTTAATGTTATAAACGAAAATTAATATTTTTTTTTAAATTTAGAAAGACAGGATATTTTTTAAAATTATAACAAATTAACTTGAAAATAAGCCATTTTATACTACGACTAATACAATCATACATAATACTATTTTAAAAATAAACCATAAATTTACTCACTAACTTTTAAAAAAGTATCCTTTTTTGTACAACATGAACTATTAAATAAAAAATGTAAGATAATGTTAAAATTGTTCAATTACGCATACAAATCTCATAACAAATTAAATACTTTTTAAACTCAATGATTTTTTTATTAATTTACCCAGTCTAAAAATAAACAACAGCACTTGAAAATCATATTCTCCAAAACAGATCGAAATGTAGGCTCTTGACTTCTTTGGCAATCAGAAACAATTTTTCTGAAAAGTATAGAAATAATCAATTGCAACTGCTCTACACCAAATCATATTTTATAAGTTGCAAACAGAAGAAAATGTGTCATAAGTATAGTATTTTGAAAAGTTTTACTTACAATAAATACATACTTGAATCATAAATTTATAAAGTCAACTTCTACATACTCTAAACATTAATAACTAGGGAAAATTTTAAAATATTGTTATTTAATATTTCTTCTATCCTACAACTCATTTGTGTCAATATAAAGTATTCACAAGACATCTAATCTTTTTTACAAATGGCTATACTGCTTAAAAAAATAAAAACGTTATCAGCATAAAAAATCAAAATGTCATTAAAAAAAAGGGGGGGGGGACATTTTTTGGAATGGTATAAATGTGTGACTATTTTTAAAAAAGACAAACTATAAAACACATCGTTTTCATTACTTGAGTATAAAGAAAGCAAACTTAATTGCAAAGAAATAATATTTCGTTCAATTTAATTTTGCAATTATGTTGTTTAGAGCAGAAAGTTGTAACAGTTGCATGTATAATTTTATCAATATATACTTCAGCATGGAAAATGTTTCTAGTACAGTTGCATTAAAAAAATTGGCTAGTAGTAATATTCTCTCATACATTATATTATATCTCATTCATCATATCATTAGCTAGTAGTAATATTCTCTCATACATTATATTATATCTCATTCATCATATCATTAACTAGTAGTAATATTCTTCAATTAAAATTTATAATTGAGTTCAAGTTTTTCTTAATCAAATAACTTTAAAGTAGAGTTTCAATAATCTTGGAATAAAAAAAACAGTGAATAAACTTAAAAATTTTTGTACATAAATTTTAAATGATGATCCCTCAATTCATCGCCTAAAAATTCTGCAATATGATCGCTGCATTGGTCATAGGAATTGATCAATATAAAAATCAAAAGAAAGAGACAAATCAATAATTGTGAAACAGCAAGACACTTCTCTATAAGATTAGTCACAGTATTTGCTGAAAATTCATTAACGTAAAAAATTTATTATGTTGGACACATTCAAAAATAAGAAATATCAGGACAAAAATATTAGGAAAAATAAAGACAAAGTATTTTACATCAGGAAAATTAAGAACATCAGGACAACTACAAAAAATGTCAGAGACTTATAGCTAATAAAATGAATTTAAATTTGAAAAGTCAAATAAGAAACATAGTTTTGAACTATGACACTATAGTTTATAATTTATCCAACATTATAGCTTCTTAACACATAGCTATAATATTTAGCAAAGCAGTATATAACATGCTGTCACACATACTTGAAAAGGTTCTGATACAGGATAAAAAAAGTTATTATAAAAAAAAGTTTTAAAAAAAATGTGAAGAAAATGTTAAATATATGGGTCATTTATTTCTGCTCTAATAAAAATTAAAGTTTTTTAAATTAATTTAAATGAGTCATAAACCTTAATGAATCATAAAATATAAATCAAAACCACAGTAAATTTAGAACAAAATATTACATTTATTGGTCAAAACTTGCACATAGGTGATTAGTCACATCTGTGACCTGACATTCCCATTGTTTCCCAGATTCCCAAGTTTACAGTTATAGAAATATGAAATAATCTTAAACAACATTTTAATTGATATTTAAGTGATATACCGTGAGATAGAGGCGCCTTTNGTTGTCAACTTAAGTTTTTTCAAATGCAACGTATTTGTTTGCTTAAAATTGAAGTTTTAATTTCATTTTAATACCACTGGGGAAAATGATAATGGAAGGGATTAAAAGTTTGCAGGTATGCAGATTCCCAAGTTTATAGTTATAGAAATATGAAATAATCTTAAATAACTTTTTAATTGAGAATGTATTTAAAATACTGCACTTATAACAAAAAACTATATAAAAAATTTCAATGTAATTTCCATGTCAAGGTAAATACCAGTAACCAGAATAATGGGTTACAACAGATAACAGAAACAAAAATACCAATAAATTTTTCGGAAAAGCAGCAATATGCTATTACACTTCATGCATCTTTTTTGAAAGTGCCATTTTATTTAGAACTACAAACACAAGAGCATACTTGGGTAAACAATACAATATATTCAACTATATTTATTACTAAGCATTTGTCAAATTTTTGTTATATACTGAGATCAACACACAATGTCATATATGTGGGCCAACAGAATTTATATAATTTGACAAACTATTAAGTAAATCACTATATTTATAGATTTAAGCATCTAAAATGTGTTACAAATTTTTAGAACATATAGTCTCAAATGCATGGGAGTATTCACAATAGAAAATAATAGTTAAAAAATAAGCCTAAATCTAATTAAAAAATTTGTGCATTGAAATTCCTGCATTCTCACAAAATAATTCATATTACTAAGCATTTGTCACATTTGGAACAAAAAATGTGTACTGCAAAACTAAACAACTATTTGAAAGTAAAATTATTATGAAAATATATGTAGAACTAAAATCAGTCCTTATTTAGGTGAAGAAACACAAAATACACTTGCTTTTGAGAAAAATGGAAACAAAGTATATTATAAAATGTTTTGTTGTAAAAAAATGAGCAAAATAAATATTTTTTTAAAAAACCTTTTAATTTAAAATAATAAAAATTCACTTTTATTTTATAGAAATAAAAATATATGTACCTAATGTTTGGTATATCTTTAATGGTCCAAGCAGGAATACTATGCAATTTGGTTAAAGCAGATATTACATGAAGTAATGGTGCTATTGACCATGATTGTGAGGCAATGATGTGGAGGAAGCTCTTCAAAAATAACACTAAAATTCAATTTAAATATGCTGTATACAATACTGAAAATATAGCCAAAAATAAAAACACTCATTTTTCGCAAAATTTATGTAAAACCACTATCACTAGTAATATACAATACTATTTTTATAAAATCACTTAGTTTTTGTAAAAAGAAAACTTCAAAATGATTGGACTTCTACATAATTAAAAAAGCAAACCAGATAGTTTTCACACACAGCAAATGTCATAATAAAGGGAGTAATAAAAGAAAAATGAGAAACTTTTTTTACCAGATTTCTTTACCAAATTCTTCAATCATCAGTCCTTCTTTGAAATTATCAAATTGTTTTGACCATTTATATTTTCTATTGAAACATTCTTTTTTATTTAAGAAGCAAAAAATATACAAAAATTTCCTTTCTTTATTTATTTTTTCTTTAATTCTTTTTGATGCCATAAAGAATATAAAATCAGGGTTCACACTCAAAGAGAAGGAACTTTTTCCCTCACTAATATGTGTTTAATTTACATAAAATCTTTATGAAAACGAAATTTATATTTAATAACTATGAATTATATTTAATGCAAAAAATAAACAAACATAATAAATAAATATAATTATAACTTTATATAAATTAGATTACTTTTAATAATAATAAAAAAAAAAAAATTTTAAAGTATAATGGAAAGTAAATTAAACATGTCAATATCAAGATTTAAACTAAAAGAGTAAAACTAGCTGAATATGATTTTCTAAAAAATATAAATAATCGATTTAAAACATTTATGTAAAATTCAATGATTAAGATAATTTGTTATGCGAATATGAGAATGGACACCTTTAAAATGATTATAAAAATAAAAAAATTTAAAATATTATACACTTATTAAAAATAAAAAGAAATTGCAATTAGGAATAAAACGCAGGAGAATAACAGAAAAATTATATCATTTCTAATTCTTAACTCTTCCTTAATGCCAAAAATCTCTAATTTTTAAATTACCTCAACACTTATTTAGGATAAAAAAATTTTTTGTGAACAAAGCAAAAAAAGAACACAAACATAAAATCATATTCCATTTGTAAATTGGTGAGTGGCTCCCTGTTAAAATTTTCCTTATTATAAAATTGTTAATTCAATATAATAATCATATAGACTTAAACATGCAAATATTAATCAGCTGGAAAAATTATTATGTGCACAAAAAAAAACTTGGATTAAAAATATTCCTCCTATTTAAAAATCTTATATTTTATTAAAATTAGTGATTGGGATTAAAATTTTTTTATCAACTAATTTTAAAAAAATAATTTTAATCATTTTGGATTAAAAAAAAATATTAAAAAAAATAGAACTTGTCAATTCATCACTTTAATTCATAAAATAACTCAAGAATACTGAAATTTCTGAAAATAACAAATCCAGCAAGGTAAATAATGAAACTATTAAGTGCATTTAGTGACCAGCCACTCAGATCACACAAACGTGAGTAAGAATGTGTCAAAAGTTATTCCTTCATCCTCTATTTATTATTATCCTCTATTTTTTTTAAAAAATGTTTGATTTTTCAAAAACATTGTTTAATATTTTTTTCTTCTCCTTTAAAAAATCTTTACATTTGTTTTCACGTCTTCTCCATATTTTTAACTTATATCATGGATTCTATGTATTTGCATCTTATGTGCAGTAACATATTATTTTTCTTAATTTTCTTCAATAATCGCTCTTTCCCTTTATCCTTTTCGTCTATTACGTTGTTATATATATGTATATACAAATATATATAAAACCTCTGCAATTAAAAAAATTTAAAACCATTTCAGTTCTTTGAAGGAATTTCAACTGGGCCCTGGGACAATTGTCTATCTCTTCCTTCCCTTGAGTATAGCCATGGAAATATGTACATTAATAAGAGTATACATGTTATACAATATAATAAAAAGTATACTATTCTATATTTAAGTATTTCATTATTTATGAGTATTATAATTACTATCTTAAATGCTTATAATAATGAATTTTAAAGAAGTTATGAGAATGAATTTTGTGAGGAACACAATATAGAGAAAGATTTTTTGCATTTGCTTTTTTTCTTTTTTTTACAACTTTGTATTAAAAAATAGTGTTTTTTTTAAATACGCAATGTTGTTTAAAACATATGCAAACTTACAAAAATCTATACAAATATTCAATGTATCTTATTAATTTGAATACAATGCAACTAAATTTTATAAAGAATGCTTTACCTTTTTCAGTTTCCTGCGCAAAGGCACCGATATAATTATTTAGGAATATAGAAATTTTTTCTGATGAAAGAAACATAGCAAAATTATCTTGCTCACAAGCCCTAATATAAGAATAATATAACATCTGATTAAATCAAGATACTGATAAAAATACAAATATAGTAAATGTCATTAAAAACACTTGTATGTGAGAAATAATCAAATTGAAAAAATAAAGTTAAGTTTCCTTTTAAAATAATATAACAATATATATGAACTTTTTAACTGAATAATAAGAAAAAAACTAAATTGAATAAATAAATATATCACCTTGAAAATAAAGTTTGATCATTAATTGCTTCAAATAGGAGCTTAATGAAATCCTAAAAGAAACATCAAAAAAGATTTAAACTAAATAAAATATGTGAACATGAATTTACGCATAGTATGGAATACAGATTACCAATCAAAGAGCAACAATAAATAAAGTATTTCTCAACTTTGTTCTTCTTTTTATTTATTAAAAAAATGGAATGCTTTTCAAATGCAGAAATATAAAAACAAATATATTCAAACATGGTATAATTATGCAAGCACTGATCTTTTTAACAACTAGCGCAATCGTAAAGGTTAAAATAGGAATGGTTTAAGGCATTATGTATTACCCAGTAATGTTTTTAAATTTTAAAATTTTATAAGTATAAAGCACATAAAAATGTTATGTAACTTTTCATGTATATGAGAAAGAAGTTCCTGGCTTGAAACCAATTGGCATTTATAAAATACATATGATTTGTAGTTCATATAAAGGTATTCATTTTGAGTATTAAAAGAAAATAAATTACACAAAGCCTAATAGATACAATTAATTACTTAAAATAAATGAAATACTTAACTAGATTCTTAATTATTTTCTGGCTACACATATTTATTTACAAAAAGAAGTAATATATCTTAGTAGTTTATTATGTATTCCATATGATGTTTACTAAGTTTTGATATTATTGTTAATAATTTGTCCTAATAAAGTGACATACTTGCAGAGACAAGTACAGTGACATTCTTTTTTTAAAATGAAATACTCTGTATCAAGAAAATCAATAATTTAAATAAAATAATTATTAAAATTTTAGTCTTAAGATTAAAAATGATTTACTCATTAACAATTTCCTTTAGGTTTAAATTTTTAAGTGAAAAAAAAAAGATAAATTTATTTTAAAATAAATTTATGCCCAACTATTCTTGAAGTTGTTTATTTAGCAACTGCTAAAGAAATGGCAGAAATTACAAAACTACTTCGTAACATCAAATTTTATTTTATACACCTTTATTTTACTTATCCTTTTCATTTATATCGGATAAAAGTATCAAATTGGATACGGAAGCAGGAAAAAACAGTGGTGCCTCTATTAGATGCATCAACATTGTCATAAACTGAATACAGCTGAAATTGCATTTTTAAACCTGAATTTAAAACAATTTATTCATTATCTAAAAATAATTTTACGAGTTTCAGCCATGTTAACAATAAAAAAAATTAACATACAGTGCAGAACCTCTTATCCGGAAATCAGAAAACCGGAAGACTGGAATGAAATTCAGAACCGGAAATTAATTTTCTTCCATTAAAAAAAAAATTTCCTGCAAGATTTTGATCCCATTTTGTTATTCAGAGCGTACTGCGTATCGAGTTGACGAAAGAACTGATTTAGAGGACGGATCAAAAGCTGTTTGTAGACGAATCTCACATAAGCACAAATAGCTTATATATGTTATTAATGTTAATAATAACATTAATAACATATATAAGCACTGCATATAATTTTTATTTCATAATTTCCTTCCTTATTTAAACTTAAGTGTATTATTATTTATAATTTTTTATTACTTCTAAAACTATTTCAAAATAATTTTTTAGTTTCGTTTTATAAACATTAAAAAAAAACGGCATTTTGTAGCGATACAGAAAACCGGACAAATCAGTTATCCGGAATCGCGATGGTCCTGATCGTTCCGGATAATCGGTTCTCTACTGTACTAATTAACTTCTCTTTGGTGCTTATAACAGAATTAATAAAGAGAACTTTTATGATATGAATTTTCACTAAATATTTCTTTAAGCATTCCGAATCTAAAAATTGTTAAAAATTTAAATAACTTAATGATGCAGAGCATGAATTTTGTGTTATAAGAGTACCAGACAGACAAAAATTGTTGCTCATCACTATTTTTATGAAAAAATTAACAATTTTTCAAACGATAACAGATGTAATATCAAGAGCTTTTTGGTGCCACAAACTATAAAAAAAATTTAAAACTGAAAATCCCATTTATTTCACAGTAATAATAAAATAAGGTTACTGCAAGGTCTAAATATCATGAAGAAACTCTAAAGAGTTACAAAAAGAAAATACATTTGTTAATATTTTTTAAAATATGTCAAGGATACATTTTTCTGGTTGCATTTCCCCAGAAAAAAATTTATCCCTTGCGTATTATGAATCAAAAAGGTACAAAATAATTACTAGTTTTTAGCTGTCTTTTTACTACTAACTTCTGGTTATAGTTAAAAAGGCAACTAAAAAATAATCTATAGTTTATAGAAATAAAAGCAAAATATTTACATAAATAATTCAGAAAAAGGTAACAGTTCAATACCTCTGAATTTTCTTTTAAAATAGCATTATCTTCATAGCTTAATTGAAAAGTAAAATCCAACGTCCATTTAACCACACAGCGACTTTCATGTTTTAGCATTCTGCGAAAAAGAATCATGCACCATGAAGGACTCAGACAATTTCCATGCTGAGGAGCTGCAGTAAGATATATGCATTTTGATAACAATTTTTAAACAAAACATTTTTCATAAATAATTTTTAAAACATAAGCTACAAATAATTTTTGATTTGGTTATTTCAGAAGACATTCATTTTCTAATTAATAAATGCGCTGTTTCTATAGGTTGTAAATGTTTTCTTTTTTTCTAAAAAATTTACGATTACAATACATTACAAGATGAGAATTTGATTTTTTCCTTAACAAAATCGACTTATAGATTAGAATTGACATTTGGGGAAAAAAAGTTCCTTTGAATTATCAAAAAAAATAATAATAAAAAAATAGATTAATCAAACTTTAAGGAATGAAGAAAAAAAAGCAATGTTAAAACTGGAATTTTCTCCTAGGTTTTGAAAATACTTTGAATTATCTGAACTTTGAGTTATACACATTAAAATAATATAGAGGGTTTGGTTATATTTATATAATTTTAGAAAAATTCATATTTGGATTTGGGGCTCCTTGGAGTCTCATCCCTAAGGACATCTTGTAAAAACATCATTAAGAACAGTTCCTGCATTTAAAAATATGGTAATGAACACAACAAGGAAAAAATAGTTTGATAACCACATATAAGTACTTATTTAAAAGATTCTTACATTAGCTATTAAAAACGCAAATGTATAGTTTCTTTTTATCGAATAAAATTTATTTTCATATATGTAAATGACCGATGACAATAGAAGAAATGCGACTAAATAACAAAACAAATTTTTCCAATAAATTTACATTTCAGAATTTTAAATTTAATTTTTCTTATCATCAAGACTGATTACATCACTCTTAATTTTGAGAGTCCTAAAAAACATTATTTTTATTTACATAATTATATACTACATTTAACATCATTATATACTACATTTAACATCATTATATACCTACAGCACAATTGTACTATTCTGGAAAACTTGGGCAACACAGGCTTGATAATATGTATCTGCAAAAAAATCAAAATAATAATTAGTAAAGTCACATCTTTTATGTGATTCACGTGATCAGTAATAAACTGCTCATGTGAATCACATCAATGGCACTATTGCAGACATTTTTTAGCATTACTAAAAAAAGGTCAAAATTTTTTCATTCTAACGTGCAGGAATTTTTTTCTCTACTTCATGCACCTGTACTTTTCTCGCGATTACATCATTGCATTTTGCTTTAGTCATGTTCAACAGAGGTGAATTTTGCCGTTTTCTTTCCATTTAATAAAACAATTTGCCTTTCCAAAGAAAGTTAAATTTTTTTCTAATTCCCGAAAAAAAAATTGTTTTGACACGATTTCCCACCTATGCAAACGCGGTTTATAATTGCACACCATGTTTCATATTTTCAAAATTTTACATCAAATATTGTGATTCATATTCAAATGATTTAAAAGCCACTAATAAGATTCCTGTTCAAGTGACTTAAAAATTAAATGCAGAAATTTGCATTCACATGAATTTAAAACTAATAATACCCAGAGCTCATTCTAGGCAGAAAAAAGAGCAGGGTGCAAAAGTTTAAAAAAAAGAGCATTATTATTCTAAAAAGGCAATACTTTCCTTCTATGGGCTTTACACTTTCTATTAAAAACATTGTCTTTTTTTTTTTTAACTTGACTAAAAGTACCACAGCAATCATATTAATTGCTAATTTTTATTAATAAATTAACATATATGTATGAGTTAATGAGCTAATTAGCTTAGTCATTTATTTAAAATGCATGCATATATTAATAAAATAATAAATGTATGTTTTTAAGTGTCTGTAGTTATGATTTAATAATTAAAATGATTAATAATAATCATGATTTAACGATAGTGAAGTAACTGCAAACTTTCATCAAAGACAAGTGCACTATTTTTCTTTCCCCATATAAATCTATGTATTGACAGCAATGAAACTAAATAAAAAGAGTTGAAAATAAAGAGGGGTTGAGGAAAGAAAGGGCAAAAAGGGTATGGTGTCTATTACCAGGGCACTAATTTACTTCAGGGGCAACAGGGTGGATTCTTTTGACTAAAAGGGCAGCAGGGTGCTGCGCCCGGTTTACCCTGCCTAGAATGAGCTCTGTAATACCCACAACGAAAGGGGTATAATTAAAAATGTTTTTTGCATGCATATTATTCTATAAACATTTTATGCAAAGTTATAATTTAAATATTTTATGACTCTATTATCGATAGTTAGCCTGTTTTTTTTAACCCATTTTGAACTATAATAAAATGCATGCCTATCCCTCTTATTATACATCTTAGTAAGAAATCTTCAAAATTATGTCTTAAATAATCCCTTTTTTCAATTATATTGTATAATATTTTATACTTAAATTAATAATTTTAAAAAAAAATTTCTTTAAATTAATGCTTTTTATTTTTTAATAAATGAATGATAGGGATATGCAAGTGAAAATAATAGCTTATATGTATATCCCTTTCCTTATTTCTCAGCAAAAAAACTCTGAATCACACTGAAATCACACTTTTAAAACTATGAGACTCTAAAGAATGTAGAATATCAGGGTTCATTATAAATCTTGTACTGTAATAAAATAGCTTTCAATTCAGTTCAGTAGTAACTCAGTTCTAAGTAATTGCTATTAACTAATTAATTGGTAAGATAAGTTATTCAATTTATGTATTTCAAATAATTGATAAATTTAATCAGTAAAATATTATTAAAATTCCTTGTTACTAATAGTCAGTTATATTTAGTAATTAGAGTACAATTTAGAAGGTATTGATGATGGCAAATAAGTGCCTCAAATTTAATTTTTTCATTACTATTTAATCATTAATTAATAAATATATTATCATGACAATATCAACCAGATAATCCATGATGCACTCTTAGACTTTGCCCATTGCTACTGAATTTATTGAAGAAGATTTGAATAAGCAATAATAAAAAAATTGCAAATAAGTATCAACAAACATAATATTAGATAGTGGTCAAGTTATAAAAAATAAAAATTGAAAGTAAAGTTAATTCCAAGCATAAACTACCCATTGAAACAGACATAAAACATTCCATCTATATATTAAACAATCTCATTGATAATATAGTGATAAAAAGATATGTTCTTTTATTTCGATGCTTATGACTGCAACTGAGGAATTTGATATTGAATCCTTTTATTGTCTTTATTGAATACTTCACCATATAACTAAAAAAGACTACCTATAAATTTTAAAATATAGCAGCAAAACAATAATTTTCAAAATAAAAATGCATTTTATATTTTTTATAATTTGATTCAACTTTTAAAAAAACTTACTTAAATCCAAAATAGAAATAAATTATAAATGCATGAACTGAAAAAGAAAGATATAAATTAGTAATATATGTACCTGCTTTTCTTCCAAAGTTTCAAAAATATTAACTATATCATCCCAAATTCTTAGGCCATCAGGGAAAGCTGTTGAAACGAGTGTTGATGTAGTATTTTTTGCATTTACAGTCACACTAATACTCTCTGTGTTAGATAACCAACACAAAATTGTCTTAAATATGTTCACAGTAATTTTTCTAATATAAAAAGCATCTGATGCTAAACCAGACTGTATAACATCCCAAAAGAGAACATTTTGGACAAAAAATAATTGAAGATCCTTAGGACAGTTAGAGATATACTTAGTAATTGAATACACCAGAATGTATATAGCATAATTATGACTTCGTGCATCATTGCTTTGTTCATACTGAAACTGAACACAATCCCACATTACTTTAAATATGCTCTCTGTAATGGAAACATTACTCAATTTCAATACAACAGGAAGAATAAAGTTTGCGAAATATTTAATGGTTGATAAATCAGAAAATGATAAGTTGCCAACTATGCTGATAATCAGTTCAGCAGTTTCATGATCTTGTATAGTAGGGAAACACTCTAGAAAACGAGAGAAAAATTTCAAGATTAGATAAATTTTGTTGTTTAAACTAGACTCGTAGCTTTGCAAATGAGTATTTTCTTGCAACTTATAATGGGCAAAAAATTCGCTTATATAATTAAAAGTCTCTTTAACTAATTCTTCTTCGGTTTCAAAAAGCTTGGATAAACAAGTAGCAGTATCTAAAAGTAAAGAAATGTTTGAGCACTCATCGTCATTTTCAACTCTCTCAGAAAGAATATATTTTACATGTTTTGTAAATAGGACGTGAGTAATCGAAAGTAAAATTGTTTTGCAATCGCTACTTAAATGTTCTTCTAATTTATAAAATTTATTGCCTAAGAGATTTTCCTCTTCACATTTCTCAAAAGAATGTACAATGCCTAACAAATCAACCAATATTTTAGAATTAATAATGCATTTTTCCCGTAAAAGCACATTGTAAATACATCTCAAATTACATAAAACCTTCTCCTCGTCAAAACAATAATATTTAAATAAACCCTCCATACTTTCAAATGTTGCACACAGAACAGATAATTGAAACTTTACAATAATCCTAGTTTTTAAATTATAAAAACAAAGCACATAAATTATAAAACATTTTATCTATAAACATATTTGATATGTTTTTAAAGTAAGAAGTTTTTTAATGGGTACAAACATAGCTCAATGAGCTAGCACTATTAAGTAAAGAATACAGTTGGGTCCACGCGTGAAACCAAAACAAAAACACAAGCTCTGAAAATATGTTGCCATTTAAAGGAAGATAAAAAAGAAAGAAATCGATAAATTATTTAAAGATCAGCTTTCATGATTCGCACTGGTTACACTGGTTTGTCGCATTGACTGCAAAACTGGTTACACCAGTACGCCGCACCCTTATTAAAACTTTGTGTCATCAGTTATGCACGAAGTTCGCTAGGTTTCTAGTCGGTTTAGTCATGTGGTGTGACGTTCGTGTTCATTTTACTGTATTTTTAGATGGATTTTATTATAAATTTGTAATAAAAACTTTCTTTAGCATTGAAAATAAGTTTTCTTGTATTAAATTTTAATATAATGATTATTTCTGGAAATGTATTGTGTAAGATGAATGTGCTTCCATCGTGATGCTGTTTATTGCAATGGATATCATTTAAAAACATTAATGTTTTATTTTTGATATTAGTTTGTATTTGCTTTCAGCACTAACATTTCAATTAAATTTTGATTCGTATAGTAATTAGTTTCACTTGATTGATTCACATCGAAAGAATTTAGGCTTGTGATTTAGTTCAATAAACATATCGCTTTGTTACAGTAAAAGTTTGATAAATCAAACAATTATCCAAAGCATTATTGTCAAATTAATAATATAGTTTTCTGTATTAGTGACAGAATTTTAGCATCAGTAAAAGATTTATTGCTTTTAAAAGTTTAGTATGGCTTTTTTTTTATGTACTCATAGTACCCACACGAAAATTTAAGGTATATTTAAGATTGATTTGAGGTATTTTTGAGGTATTAAGGTTGTTTTGAGGTATATTTGAAGTATATTTAAGATTGCTGAGAAAACAGCAATAAAAATTATACCTCGTAAAGGTTGTAATTAAGGTGTACGAGGTTGTTTTATATATACTTCAGCTTATTTTGAGGTTGTTTAAAATCAACTTCAAATCAACCGGGCTGATGAGGTGATTTTCAAGGTATACCAGGTTAATTTTCTGACACTTGTAACAAAAGAGGTATTTTTGAGGTATAAAATTTTTTACCTTATTTCAACTAACGAGANTCCGCAGAGGATCAAAATTGTGATGGCATGTCTTCGGATCATCCTCCGGGATGTTTCCCAGACCGTCGCCAATAGCCCATTGTGCAGCTCTAGTGCGACGTAAATTAACAACAACAACAACAACATCAAATGGAAAAGCTCATGTTTATAAATTTTTGTATTCGTTACATTTTAATTTAAACCTTTTCGTCCTGTATGTATTGTTTTCAAAATAAACAAATCCAATCAGTATTTGATTGTTAAATACATTTCTTTTGCGTTATAAATTTTTTCTCATATCCTTTCTATATTTCATAACATCATAGCAGGCCTGGAACGATGAATATTGTCCTTGCTTAATAACAAACGATACCTTTAGCTTCCACGGTGTTATATTAAACTAGCCGTTGAGTGACCCATACTAAGCTAGGCCTTCAATGTCTTGAGCTTAGGTTGAAATTTGTATTTTTTTTATTTTATTAACATCATTGTTGGGCTCTGGATAATGAGTTTTCAAAATAGCTATCATAGCAAATTTGCGAATTCTCTCGAATTCATCTGTTGTTTATTTAGCTGAAAGTTACATTATTGTTGGAACGTGCTATTTTGAAAACTCTGCAAGTAAACTGAAATATTGGATGGTGCATTTTTTCAAGCTAAGGCAAAACGTAAAAATCAGACGGAAGTAGCAACGCGGAAGTCTTAACCCCTAGCGCCATCTGCGCTTCGCTTTACGCGGTTAACCATCCATAGGAGGAACGATACGATTTTTACTACACCAGCATCGGTATCAACTTCTTATTACATTATGTTAGAAGAATATATATTTTAATGTTATAATTTTATTTTAACTCGGTAAGCTATAATTTAATTTCTAATTTTCTGACAAAACTATTTATTCAAAGTGAAATTGCCGAGTGAAAGTTTTCATTCATGATCTCCGTTTAAAAGGTATCAGTCACTGTACAAATTTGACATTACCAGACATGTCAATGTAAATAAAAGCTCATCTTTTAGTTTTCTTTTCATAGTAGTTATCTAAAAATTAATAATTTCTTTCTTTGTTTATCATATTTTAGTTAATAAGTTGATACGAATGGAGATTCAAAATTCTGTACATTCAATAAAATTTATTGTTATATAGTTTAGAGATGAATTAAATTATTTGTTTTTATATTTCAGCTGTAAAAAAAATTTCTGTGATCAGTGTGATGTATGTTTTTATTTGTTCTTTTGAATTCACGTAAATAAAATTCTTGTCGGTCTCAATTTTAAGAGGCTTAATTGTGAAAGCCTAAAAAATCAGTTCAGCTAATATTTATGACTGAGTATTATTAAAAGAAAAAGTGTTTAAAGTAGCATAATGATTTTTGAAAATGAATATGTAAAAATTAGCTCTTGTTATTATTAATTTTTGTCCGTTTTATCAGGATGTTTTTTTTTTTTAAAAAACATGTCTTTCTGCAGATTTTTAATGGTGTTAGAAATGATGTATGTCAAACTGTATTATTTATTATGGTATTGGTATTTCACCAGTATAGAGGAAAAATTGCCGTATTTTATAATTAAGTGGTGAATTTATCTGTGGATCTAAAAATTATTCTGTGTATATCTTACAATTATTTCTATCCAAAATTTTAAACTGAAAGTTTTTATCTTATAATTTTACACCAAAATGCTGATAAATTACTTTTCTATTATTCGGGCGTAAGCAAAAAGTTGCCAAAAAATATAGAACTTCACCAACTCTTTTTTACTTTTCTTTCAAATTACATAAAAAATTTTAAAAATAAAATTTAGTTTAAAATAATAAAAAAAAGTTGAAATTCCTTGCTCTCTGTTAACCAAAAAGTATTGCTGATCAAAACTTAAATATACCACTAATCATAAATTAAAAGTAATGACCATGAATTTAATTGTTAATTAAACTGCTAATTTAATAAATTTTTTTTAAATGAAAAAATTATTACTAGATATTTTAGAGTGTAAATGTAATGATTAAAAATGGTTATTTTAGTGTTTTTCAAGTGATGTGAAATAGTAAAGAAAAAAATACTACCTTTTATAAAACGAACTATAAAAAACTTTTATATATTACTAGCTGATTATCTGTTTATGAAAAGGTTAAAAATCTTGTAAATTATCAATGATTAGTATTGATTGATGTTATATTAATATACACAAATACGAAATGTTTATTTTTTTTTAAATTTTAAGGAAAGATGAACTAGCTGATGCTGATAGTTATGCTTTTCATTTTTGTTTGTGCTTATTTGATTCATCAAAGCTAAAATAATAAAAGATTGTGCAATTAACACCTAGGAAAACTCTTTTTTTTTATATGTAAAGAAGTTATATTTATTTTGAATAACTAGAATTAAAAGCTTATTAATTAGCTCATTAAAGGAAACAACAATTACTTGGGAGTAAAAAAAAAACTGCAATTTAAATTGCATCAATGCATTATGTTACACCAATGTGAAAATATAAAGATTTAATAAATTTAAGTACTTACTTGAAAATTTTACTCAATAATTCAATTTAAGATCTTTCAAAGTTGATGATGTGTATATTCATTACACCACACGTTCCTTGATTTTCAACTTCTTCAACATTTTATTTAATGCCTAATCCCGATGATAGTGAGGAAAGCAATATAGATGGGCACAAAATATCGGAGGATATACTCACAACTAATCAAAAGTTTAAAAGCATTAAAACTCTAAAGCATTTTAGGGTGTAAACCATAAAGCTAATTTGTGAACAGTAGTATTAAATATTGAAAGGGATATTGTTATAGTTGTATCAAAAAAACAAAAAACACTTAAAAATTTAATATTTTTTCTACTAGTTCATCTAAAAATATACTTTTTACCCCGATTTTACTTTACCTTGCTTCATGCGTTTTTTATGGCTAGTCTGACTAAAAACGTAAATTCGGTATGTGTGTGTCTATGCATATGTTTGCATCAAAACAAACTTAAATTTCTCTTTTCTCGATTTCTTTTAAAATTAGAGATATTAAACCCATCAATTAATTTTAAAAACCTTCTGTGTGTATTATTTTGACTCACTAAATTAAAATTCAATATTTTTGAAAAATATAAATTTACAAAATTGAATCAATAATATTTGCAAGTTGGCCCCCTTATTAAAGTGGCAGATGTAAATATTTCAGGATGAAATCGGCATGAATCAAGTCAGCATTAAATGTTGAAATTGTAGCATGAAAGCGAAATTTTTTTGTGCTATTGGATATTTTTTTATTTTATTCATTTATTTTATTTTGTTCAATATTGTTATGAATTGTTTTTTTAGATTTTATAAATATTTCCTAAAACAATTGTTTTATTTTATTAATCTAGGGAAACTATACTGCCAAAGCTAATTAGAAATTAAAGAATTATGATATAATTACATCTTGTTTTCCCTTTTCTAATTTGGTAAGTACTATCAGTAAAAACTTCAGTTTATTTTATTTCTAGCTCTAAAATTCATTATATTACATTGCTACTATTTTTGTTGTTTCAATTAATGTAATTAAAATTTTACATTTATTAATTTATTTCATATAATATCTCTGGCCTTAGTATTACTTATATTTATAAGGACATACAATATCTTATAGCATGTCTTATTTAAGTTTGAAATGTGAATTAGATTCAGATTAGTTAGGTGAAGGAAGGTTTTGTGCTCATGATCAAACTAAGCATGATTATAAGCAACTACGAAAACTTAATTCATGTTACTAATGTGAATTAGCTAATGGCTCCTAAAAAATGTTTATTATTATTTGTTACTTGGTTCAGTATTTCTTTAATGAAATGATTTTTAAAAGAAATTCAAAACTATTCTTTTGATGCTGAGCTGCATAGACTATAATGTTGATGCACTAAAACTATTATAATGTAATAAAATAATATGTAGTTAGGAAGTTTATTCTAATAACTGTATAGCTCATTTAATCAAACATTTATATTTTTTGTAAATTATAATTAGCTTACTTATCAGGGAATATATTATAATCATAATTTATTCAAAATATTCATGTACAGTGCACCAGAAAAGAAAAAAAAACCCGGCCACCCTGTATAACTTTCCATTGAATAATCGAATCCTCATGTTCTAGGTCTCAATCTTAATGACTCCAGAGGGTGAGTAATCAATATTCTGATTAATAAGTGCAGATGATATTTTAAATGACGAAATCGGACACAAAAATGTACTTCTCTGAAGAAACATCGTTTTTTTCCCAACGGATTTGAATTTTTGAACCCCATAATATAGGGAGTAGCCACAATCTAGGAACTATGGTCCCCATAGTTTGGTCAGAAAAGAGATTCAAAGTTTGGACTCCTTAATGTTAATTTTTCTTTTTGCGTATTAGCAATATCTCCAGAACTTTTTGAGCGAAATTGAAAATTTTTTGCATACGGTTATAAACCCTGTGGCAGAATCGCAGCAACATTGTCACAGAACATTATTGAGCTCTTGCAGAAAGAATTTTCTTTTGAAAAGTGAAAAAAAAACTACTTTTCTCTTTTACAGAAATTTATATGTAATATTTGAATCATCCAATTAGATAATCACTTTTTGGGACACTCAATTTACGCCGATAGTATTGTAAATCGATGTAATATTCCGATTGTATTTACTGCAGTTTATTGATTTTCACTTGGATCACACTATCTTAACCTTGTATTGATTCAAACATTTCTTGAAAACTTTTATTGCATTCTGTGGGTAGCAAAGTTATTTTAAAAAGTTTTATTATTTTTCCTGGTACATCCAAATCATTTAACATTTGGTACAGTTCTGGTATTCTCACCTTAATGTGGTGATATGGTTTGTGTTTTCTACATTCAGTCTGAGAGCAATGCCTGTGATAGCTTAGCTACTTGTAGGGTCATCCAAGCCAGACAGATCAGAGAAGAGGCACCTGACAAAGAGGAACACCCTGTTTCGCCAGGGTTGTTTTTAGTCGGGGCTGACAACCCGACACTATAAAAAAGCCTTCTGTTAGGAAGCTTCTAAAAATATAATTCCCAAAATTACTGTAATTAAATTAATGAAGATTTTGGAAAGTATAACTTGGAGAGTAAAAATATGAATTAAAAATTATCTGAGATGCATAAAAATATAAGAATATATCTCAGTTACAGGGAAAAATCATCTCTGTTACTACAAAATAGCTTTGCTGCAGCATCTCTGGATATGTTACAAGTTGTATTAAAGGTTACTCGAAACTTGTATTATCATTTTTTGTTTTAAATATTTAAAAACTGGTAGAATAGTATACAGCAAATATTGCAAAATGCAGTATACTGGTAGGATAGTATACAGCAAATATTGCAAAATGCAGTATACTGGTAGAATAGTATACAGCAANTACCTTTCAGTCTAAATTATTCCTTTCAGTCTAAATTATTCAAATTTAAATAATTCTTAATTTTTCTTTCTATTATAAAAACTTGTATTGTGGAATATTTTCACATACATACAAGTGTTAATCTGGATCATACTTCCATTTTAAAAGCTAATCTAATTTAGTTTGCATTTAAAATGTAAACTATAAATTTTAGTTATTAACTGTTAAATTCCTTTTCAAGTTGGCATCAGATTTTCTTTCTCACACTTTTACTGAGAAACTTCACTAATATTGCAATAAGGCATGCAAATTTTTATTCAGTTTATATTTGGACCCAGAAGTTAGACATAAACAGTGCATGACTTTTTGTTTTATGGTTGATAATAGTCTTATTTTGAAGTTAATTCTGATTTTTTTCATTTCTCTAATGTTTTTAATTCTTAGTAATTCTATTTTTGTAGTAATTGAAAAAAAGTTTAAGACTAAAATGTTCAATTTTTGGAGTTTTAATTTTTTAGGAGTGAAACATTTTGAAAAATGGAAGACATATTGACTGAAGCTGAAGAAACGGTTAGTAGTTTTTTTTATATTCCGATTTGAATAATTAATTTAAACTATTTTTCAAATTAATGTGTATGCTTGAAAAAGGTCTTTTTTAACTAACAAGTTCTCATTAAGATCTGCTTAGAGGTTTAGTTTAATTTCATATTTTATGTTATGTAAATCATGTTTTGTAAAGTTTGTTCGTTCTTATATCGCCATGGTTGAATTACCTTAACTTTTGTTTTTTAGGCTGTAAAAGAGTTCATTGCCATTATTAAAGAGTTACATTTACATAGCAATGGGGATAAAAAGACTTGGAATAAATCCACTGCTATCAAGTTTATGATGGCCAGGAAATTTGACATTTGTCGTGCTGTGGCTTTATTTGAATCACATGAGGTAATGATGCTGAGCTTTTTTTCATTTATAATTTGTGATGGAATGTATATTTTTATTTTAATATACACACTTTTTAAATGCTAACCCATTTTGAAGCAGTTTTAATCTGTTAAAACTTTTTTTTATCAAACCATCTGAGATATAAGGTAATATTTGTATCAATGTATTTGATATTTTGTACTTAATACATAAAAGATCAAATACTTTCAATGAATACATCATTAAATTAGCAAGTTTGATTTATATAAATTATTTTTCAAATTATAAAATTAAGTGAAATGTCTGAAATTAGTTTTAAAAGAAAGTCAAATTTAATTAACTGATATAGCCTAATCAGTGCATTATCTATTTGCTGTACCTAGTATCATTTTGATAGTAGTACTAACTGAAAGAAGGAGTTCTGTAAATATTGTAATTTCATGAGATACGCCACCCTAGAATATAGGGTGCACCCATAAAATTTGACTAAAAAGGAAAAGTTTTTTCACCAAAAAGGCTGCACCGTCGGATATGCTGTGCAAAATTTAAATGTGCGATTGATTGTGGAGTTAGCGCATCTGTTACAAATATCAAGTTATAAACAAATTAATGATTAAATGTTTAAAAATCATTGAAATAATTATTAAATATGGAATATGTTAATTTATGCGATCTTACGTAAAATCAAATATTATTTTGATAGCTTTTCAATAGAACACAAAATTGTTCTGTGTACAATTGTTCGCAATTCAAATGCAACACAATTGCAAACGTATTAGGTTAATAAATACTAATTTAAAAGACTCAAATTTTATGTAAACCTCCTGATTCGGAACCTAAATATATTTGAAAAATAAGTTATCAAAATACAATAAGTTGATGAAAAGAATCTTGCTTGGCGCAAAATTGTACCATATAGAACAATCATGGTTGCATCACGTCATTTTATCATAATTTGAATTTAAATATAATGAAAGAAAATATTTAAACAGCTAAAAGTCCTTACAATAATAAAGCAAAAATATTTTAATAATCAATTAGAAAAAATATTGTTTTGCGCAAAATTGTGCTACATTAAACAATCGTGAACATATCCTGTTTCTTTGTACTAATCATAAATTTATAAAAAATTTTACCTGTCAAATGATAAACAGCTAAAAAATTTTAAAATAACTTTAAGAAAACAGATATAAAAATAAACAAATAATCTCATTTTGCACAAAATTAAAGCATAAAATGCTCCTGAACACATATCTTTTAAAATTGATTTATAATATTCCAGTTATAAGTAAATCAAATGATCAAACAACTAAAAAATTTTTAAAAGAAACATTAAATATTGAATAAATAACGTAGTTCAAACATTCCCCTTTTATCTATGTGCTCATCATGTTGCATCATTTTTACTCGAGCATCTCTGAATTTCGAAATCATGTTTTTCCGAGTCTCAGATATATACAATAAAAATACAAATAAAAATAATAAAGTTGACCTTCAGCTAAAAGTGGGGATGAACTTGACCTTCTCAGGCCTGATTGTACTCCGGATTTCTGGAATTTTCGCTAACCGTGATCCAGAAGTTTCCGGAGATCGAAGGTCCAGATGTTTAAAAAAATCATTGATCACAGAAGTTTACGGAAATCAAATTTTCAAAAGTGGAACTTAAAAACACAGTTTATTTTGTTTGTTTGTAAGGGAGAGCTAGAGAGATACTTTATAAGCTTATATTCATGATTAATATTCATTTTTTATCAGTAAACAGTTGTTATAATCATAAACTCAAGAAAGAAAGACATATTTGTAAATTTTAATTACTTCTCCAGGTCATCATAAGTATGTGTAAATGGTATAGGTATGTATAAAATTTTAAATATATTTTAAGTAAACTAAGAAATATTGAGAAAAAGGGAAAAAAAACCCTGCTTAAATTTTTTTCTAATTTTTCAATTTGAATTCAATTTTTTGTTGTTTTTTTTAATTTTTTAAACTCAATTTTCCGGAATTTTGACTTGGGCTCATAATCACCCCTGCCTTCAAGATAGATCATTTAAGCATTTCACCTCACTCATTTATGTTAGAAAATAACTTGCATAATTTTCTTTCATTTGTTTCTTCACGCCTGCAGCAGAGGAAAGGAGGAGGGGAAATTGTAATTCCATTTATCCTTGAAAGGAACTATTCGCAAGGTCATTGCGAGACGAGAATTCAGTAATGTCTTCTTTTGTTGAAAGGGAGAGCGTGTGTTGTGCTTTTGTTGTATTCTTGCAAACTATTTTTCACCTGCATTGTGAATTCTTTAAATTATTATTGATTGTAATTTCAAAACTCAAGTAATTTTTAAAAAAAAAACAAACACGCCATCCCATTAGATATGCCGCACATACTAAAATTTAATGTTTCAAATCATAAACGCCTTGGTGTGTCTCCATGAAGTTTCTGTCGTTTTTTGCAGTTCCTTTGGATTAATTCTAAATTAGCTCAATTTTGTAGCTGGCGACTTTAATCTCTGTATGCTTGTCTGTAGCAGTTGGCTTTGGATCTGTCCCAGTTCTCAGATATTTGAAGCGGTCACATTCTTCCTGCCTTGCCACAGACAATTTTACTACTTTTCTTACATTATTTAGTTAAATTTTTTTTTTTGACATATTTAAATAATTAATCTCCCTTTTTTTGTTGTTTTGCTTAGTAAATAATACACTAGTAATTAAGTAGTAATAGTAAGTTTTACGATATATATTTTAATATGTTTTATTTTAAAATGTTTTTATATTATTTCTTTGTTCGTTATTAACATCAAACAGAATTTAATGTTTAACAATAGTATATATTTATTAAAAAAATTTGATTGGTCCGCAAGTATATTGCTTTATTATTGTCTCTTCGAAATGATCCCATATAAAATATGTTAAATTTTAATAAAAAATTAGTAGTCTTTACAATTTGATTTAAATGATTTATAAAATGTTAAGATTAATAATTATTTTTAACGCTTTATTATTTAGGGTATTTCGTATATTTTAAACAGGAATAGTAGTTTAATCAAATTTTATTTCACTTTAATTGAATATTTTATTTTGTTAGTTACTACTTAAAATTAATTTTGGTGGAAAAATAAAGCAAAAGGTGATTCAAATCAAATACAAAATGGCATATATTTTATTAAAAAAAAAAAAAAAACACATTTAACATGTAATATGTGCATAAATCTGAAAATGGGAATTGTGAATCAGCTGTTTAAATGCGATAGAAATTTTAGTTATTATTTACTTATCCTGACTTTTGTTTTAAGATTCATTTTGTTTAATGATTTGTTTTAAGATTAAGGTTATTTTTAATTCCAATAAATGCAATTCAAAATAACCTTTTAAATTCTATATAAACTTTCAGCTCTAATAAATGCTATAGAAATTTTAGTTAATATTTACTTACCCTGACTTTTTTTTTTTTTTTTTTTTAAGATTTAAATTAGGATTGATGTGTATCTAATATTTAAAGTATGTTTTTGTAACTATATTTAGTTGTGTCAGGTTGTAACTGGTACATTTCCCATTGCATTTTCCATAACATCATTGTTAATATATTTATATTATTGATACACATGTACACTGTCTATGATTTGATTCATAATTTTGTTTCTATGGCAGGTGATGCGAAGACGTGAAGGGTTAATTAGATTTGATCCTACCAGTGATACGTTAAGAAGTGAGCTGGAAACTGGAAAATTTACAATACTGGTCTGTATCACTCATTTAAAGATCAAATTTTTTTTTTAACATTGAATGTTATTGTATTGAAACAAAGGCTTGATGTAAGATTTTGTCTTAGTGATTAATTTGTGGTATGAAATATTCTTTTAACATAATATAGTATTAATTTTTGAAACTTTATTTCGTAATACAGTCAGACTTCGATATAAGGTCATCCGCATATAAGGTCACCTTTCCAAAGTCCCGGCTCACTGAATAGGAATTCTTTGTTACAGATTATCGGATATATGATCAAGTTTTAAAAATCGTTATCGCTTATAAGGTCATTTTTATCTGAGGCGAGGGGAGCTCTTTCCTGACAAAAGCCTATTTAACTTCTTTACAAGGCAATTACCCCTCTCGAGTTCTATGAAAATGTTGCAACCAACAAACAAGCTCAATTTCAGAAATTGTTTCACAGTGAGGACAATGACCCCCAGACTGTAGCTGTAACCCAAGCGGAAGCCTTCAATGCAATAAATGTCATACGAATTTTTTTTACAAACCATGAGGGAGCTGAGGAACATTTTGAGAAGTTACACACATTGTTCGCTAGAACGCATTGTTCGAAAAATGAAACCAAAAACGAGATGTAATGTATGTAGGTACACTTTGAGGAAATTTGTAAACAGCTTTATTTCAAATTAAATTTTTTTAAAAAATCTATTTTCTTTAATTCTTTACTAATTCTGTTAAAATTTATTGACTTAAATATTTAATTTATGGCCGATCGTTTTCATTTGTATTACCATTTTTAAAAAATCATAATGTGTACTATTTACGTGCTTAGTTACGAACTGCTAATGAATCAGTAAAAAGGTCAC